CCTTTCGACTTTATCTACACGTCGCTACATATATGCGTGCCCGTATTTCACCTAGGCTGTATTCGAGATAGCGATTCACACAAATAAATCTTTATATTTTTGTTTCAGCACACACTCACGGGCCACTGCGCAAAGGTGATGGCGGCAAAGTTTCTTGGCGAGCCGTCGAAAGTAGTTACGGGAAGTTATGATCGGACTTTAAAAATCTGGGATCTGCGCAGCAAAGCATGTAAGTGAGCGTTCTCTTATCGATTAGGAGGGAAACGAAAAGCGGGCGCTTTCCCCCGCGACATTCATTAATAAGGGACGTAATCGCGATTACGAGGCGTTAATCCATTAAGTTATTAAAATCGCAAGATTAGCGAGTGTCTCTCGCGCGCAAGACATTCCAGGTGGCGAGCACTTTCTCCTCGGAAAAGGGAGCCGGGGGGGGGGGGGGGAAGAGGATCGAGGAATCGCGAATGTAAAGATGCCGAATTTCCGCGCGCGGAACGGTTTAAAGTACTTTAATTAAACCAGTTTATGCAAAACAATTCTGAATCTCATCTGCGTATATTTACCGACAATCGAGGTCTCTCGTCCGCTTGGTAATCCCGAAATGCCGCCGGACCCCCCGACGACGATATAAATACCTCGAAGGCGGGAAAGAAGGAAAATTTTAAGCGGCGATTGCCTCGACATATCGGGGCTTGCATAATGTTAGCGCATTCGTTCCGTCTCGTAAGAGAATTACGCGGCGAGTGTGAGCCGAAAGTAATGCACGGTGCCCCGGTGCGGTAATCACGTTGCCCATTACCCCTATTAGTCGTTGCATAATGCAGATACACTTACGAGCGCGCCGAGATAATAAAACAAACGGCGAATCTGCATGGTCATTCATATGCATATTCCGTTGCACGTCGTACGGCGGCTGCACAATGGACCGCCGCGGAAAATATGACGCCCATAATGCCCGGCCTGGTTCGTACGAGGCGCGCCGGCATCAGCGGCGCGCCGTAATGGCGAAGATGGGATAAAAACTGCCCCCTCCCTCGTCCAACGGACGGTCCGCCGCGGCCGGATCGTCGTAGACGCGTTAATTAAATCGATAAGATCCTTCCGCGGCGGAACAGATTTCCCCTCTCACCTGTTTCACCCCCTAAACGCTCCCCCTGGGCATAGAAAAAGTCTTTATCTCGCGGTATTGACGTGCTTTCTCAATGGACCTTAATATTCCCTCGGATAATGGGACGGATTTCGGGAGGAAACTTGCGATGATTGAGTAAACACGATCGGAGATAAAATGTGGGGCGAGTGACTTTAATGATTCTTTACCCGAATGGCCTCAAAATGGAAGCAGCGCGCGCGCGCGCGCGCGAATTGACACGATAATAAAGATAGATTTATGTAATCTAATAAATGATCTGTCGCGAAAGAAAGGCGAGATTAATCGCAAATCCATTACTCGCGGGGAAAGAGTGCCATTTTAATTAACTCTTAAACTAGGACACGAGTTTGTTCAGGACGAGGTGTAAGGGACGGTTTTGTTATACTCGGATTTCTTCGTTACGGCATTAATCAGTTTCTAAAGAGTGTTATTCATTCTTATCTCGTGCCTAACGTTACCACTAATTTGCTCTTTAAAACAGGATAGAAGAGCAGACGTTTCGAAAGCGTCGAAAGCATTAACTGTCTCGGACATTAAGGTAGTTCTTTCCCAACTTGAGACTTGAGCAATAAAGTTCAATAGACGATGAATTCTTTTATATTAAATTCAGGAACAGATTTTTAAACACTATTGCTTCCCTTAGAATTTTAGAAAACCGATAACATCTAAATTAATTTTGTTATAAGTTTAAAGAAAATCTGTAACTTCATCATTTTTTATCCAACTATCTTAATTGGCTACGCTTCATCGCCGTCATTTGTAATTTGAAAAACACGGGTGACAATGCGGGCGGCATAAATTGCAGGTGGAAAAAATATCGATGCAAAAACAAGTAGTGAAATTTCCGCGATTCATCAATATTGATCTCTCTCGCGCGTTACACCGATTGTCCGAAGAGCCTCGCTCTTCTTCATTTGTATGGGATCTGCTTGAATACAGATGACACGGGAACTATACCCTTCAGCACGCGCATTCACGTCTAGGAGTTTTCGGTTCGAATGCGCACGGTCGCCATTAGCGGCCCTTTTGTCCTAGGAAGTTCACGCGTCGCGATCTAATTTCACGCGACGACTCCCACAGTCGGGCGTGAATAATCGCGAATGCCGGATGCGATGGTCGGGGGGGCCTCTTCTCGCGAGAGCATTATCGTGACCTTCGACTGGCAGGTGTTGGACGAGGGCTGTACCTGTATCCGCGTGAGGGTCTGATGGCGCGGCTTCCGAGTCATTGAAAATCGCCAGCGCGGCCGGAATAGTAACGCGATAATTCCGCGCATTCAAGGGCGAGTGTAATTTCTCCTTCCCAGAAAGCCGTTTCCGCGCGGAATGCGCGGACATCGTGACCAAGACTCGCGGCACCTCTCTCTCCCGTCCGGGGGATTTATCGCGCTAATTGTCGGAGAAAAGCGGCGGCGCTTGTCCGGCCATTTGCCCTCCGCCTCGACGTATCGAATCGCAGCCCGTTCGTCCGTAAAATGGAGGAATCTTTCACCGCTTTCGGCGACGGTGCTCGCCTCGGCGCCCGATAAGCGGCGACGCTCTCTCCGAAGACGGGGGCGAAAGTGATAATTTACAGCCGGATGAAAGTGGCTATTCTCGAGGTAGAGCCGCGCAGATCGGACTCGCGTCCCCCTCGGTGCGAAATGTGGAGGCTTTAAGTGGCGCGAAAAATAAATTGAGCCAGGCCGCACGCGCGGGCGGCCGGACGCGCGCAGATAGCGCACCGCGGCGGATCTCATTTCCCGCAAATGTATTCGGGATTTACATTCGACCCCGGCGCCGGACTAATCTCGTGAAACGGCGCGCTCTATCTGAAGAACGGCCCGAGATATCGATTTACACTACGGTCAACAGCGTTGCGGAATCCTGCGGTGTGTGTGCGGCCGGTAGCCGAGGAATCGTATTGACAAAGGATACAAGGCTGCAGAGACTGCGCTTAATACGATGGCGCGCTGCAGAGGCAGTATTAATTTGCAAAGTCCAGAATCGCCTTAAACTCGACCTTTAGTTACCGCCCGCTCGCCGCGCGGAATAACAATTTGCGTCATTAACCAGCGTGCACGAGCGGATTCACCGAATTTCAATAAATCGCGTCACACCGCGTCTCGCCGGAGGATTATTATTATCCTCTCGTTAGGTCCTGACGCGTAATTAACGGGTGAAAATAAAATTACCCGTGCCGTCTCCGTTATCTACGGGGTACGTAATAGACATGTAGTTTGCTTCAACTTTGTCGGCAAACGGATATCGAGACGCGCAACGTGGATATAATATTACGTTCGTTCTTACTAAAGTTCGAAACTGAAAAATATTTTTACTTTTTTAAGGGGGTGCCGGAGTGATTCTGCACCTTTTGCACTTAGAACTGTCGATCGTGAAAACATTTGTGTAATGCACAAATTATGAGGCTTGCGCGTACTGGTCGAAAGTGTCCCACCGTCTGGACTTAAATAAATTATAGGTTATGTAACCTATAACTTATTCGAGCGAATAGATTTCTTGTTAGTCTTGTAAATTTAATTTCAATGATATCAAGCCATTCTCTGGTTTAGCTCGAATAGTGGGACACTGTCGGTCTGTTCACACAATTTGTATATTACACAAATGTTTTCACGAATTGACAGTCCTAGGGGCAAAAGGTGCACAAAGTGCACGGTCGCTCCAGCATCCCCTCAAATGACCCTTTTCTTTTTAATAAATCACCAATCAGTCGCTACGTATTTTATGGATAGCAATGATCTGTAGGACAACCAGTGCATCTGATAAAACAAATTTCAACAGCCGTTGATTTGCTTTTATTTCATACCATTGAAATACTCCAAACAAAAACTGCATTCGCGCAAATTAAATGATAGATAAGTGCGTGCAGCTATCGCAGAGAGAATAAACTGTCGGATATTATTGCCAATAGAACGAAACATCGTTTATAAAAACAACAAAAACGACCCGTTAATCCGCGTGTACTTGTACGTTTGTTTAGTGCACTTCATTTTAGCCATAACACCCCTCATTAGATACTGCATAAAAATAAAACAAATAGCGCGTGACATCAATAATTACGAGTACAATATTATTAACGGAGTTAAGGACTTTACTGTTCGAAGCGATTCTGACAAACGTGTTTGAGAATGATATTCTTCTATATAAGTTAATAGTTTTATGTTCAAGTTAATACTGAAAGCGCAAAGTGCAAAGTTTCCTACACGGCGGGCACAACGAGAGAACTGCATTACTTTGCGATATGCAAGCCCTTATGAAAGTTGAAAAGCGTAATTTCGAAAAGTGTATCTCCTTAAATCAAGTCGCCTAAAGTGATACAGCACCGGAGTTCTAGCGGGCGATAATTAATGTAAGAAGCCGCGAGCCGCCATCGCAAATCGCCCGTCCCGGCTGAGTTTGCCGAGCCGGCCATCAAACTTGTTACATAAATACGAAACTTTTTTGCCGGCGAGTGCAGCGCGCGCGCGGAGCGAAGAATCCGTCTTATTCTCTGTATGCGATGCAGATAACAACGGGGAGCGCGTGCGGTGTAATTAACCTGTGGCTTAACATCGTCCCCCGTAATTTATAGCTGTCGTCTCGTCGGGTCATTCGGTAGTCGAGTCCAAGTTAATTGTGCGCGCGTCGAGGCGCGCACGGATACCTGCGTGGATACACACAGGTACTCGCGGGGAGCGGGGGGGGGGGGGGCATCCGTTTTAGCCTTGCGGCGGCCTTTTGTTGTTGCGCCGTGGTCCTACGGCAAAATAGCGAAAACCGCGCTATCAAGGAAGACCGGCGGTGCTTGTACAAAAGTTTCGCACAAATAAATCTCCGAACGCGAGGCGCGCACAATGGGAGAGCGGCGCTGAAAGGGCGTTTAAGCGTGAATTATTGTTTACCGCGGACGCTTTAAGACAAAAAGGACGTTTAAAGTGGATCAGCTGTTTTCTATCGCGCTATTATCTACCTCGCCACGTCGCCGCGCAATTTCGTGGACGCCCCCGAGCGACTCTTCTGGACACAATCGTGCCGCAGACAGACGAATTCCGCGCCGCACCGGCGAAATAACACCCCCCCCCCCCGTGTCATGCGTTTGCCATTGACTGAAAAGACGTGCCAAATGCTCTCTAACGTCCCGAGAAATTAATCGCCGCCATTGTACTTGAGCCGTGCGCGCCGCTTGCGAGTATTTCGCTACCTGGAAAATCAATCTTTTTTTTTCATAATGAATGCGCGAGAGACTATATTTTGGAATTTCATTCATTTTCATTTTTAACTTTGCAAAAATGTGCAAAGATATAAAAATTAATAGAACGGCTTAGAGAGTTGCTACGCTGATTTATAGGTAAATGCATAAAAGGAAATGATCTCTGTTTTATATTTTGATTGATATACGCGATATTGTTCAATTAAGAATTTAATTGCCAAAAATTACTGGAAAGACTGCATTTTGGAATTTTATTCCTTTTTATTTTTAATTTTGCAACATGCAAGAATGTGCAAAGATATAAAAATTGGCTGAGCGACTTGAGAGTTGCTACGCCAATCATTAGGTAAATGCATAAAAGGAATTGATCTCTGGTTTATATTTTGATCGATATACGCGATATTGTTAAAATAAAAATTGAATTGCCAAAAATTACGGAAAAAGATGGCGTTCCGTTAAATTTTCACTAAGAACAGCTCAATCTAATTCTTACGCGTAAGAATCCGTAAATGAAAGATGGCTCGGTAGATCTAATGCAATAATATTTGAATAACACATGTCTAAAGTAAAGGTGGAATACATATTAATGCGAAAAGCATGAGAGAGGGCAAATTAACATCCCGAAAGCTCTTATCGTGGCTGACGGTTGAAGAAGACTTACACGAAAAGCCGGTAATCCTTTATGCCTCGTTCGAAGATAGACGCACGTTAATAGCATATATATATAATGCACTTATCTAAATAATACATTGGACTTAAGAACCAGTACATAAAGAACTATTTTGTAGTTGAGGGACGTGAGAATAATTTGTGCGACATACGCGAATTAACGTATACTAGAATTATCGCCGTCTCGTGACCGCAATTACCAGAAATTGAGGTGGAAAAATAAAATGTTCCTTTCGCAAAATCATGACATATTCCACACAATCAATCATATTTAACCAAAAGTGTACCTAGTCGCGGCTTTTGTCTTTCTTGCTCGCATTAAGCGAGGCCCGTGGTCATAAACGCTATTAAAATGTTCAAGGAAACGGTATTGTGCAGAGGAGATTCTTCTTGTTGATATATCTCCCCGGAGAAATGCGCTTTTTGCAGGAAAATCTGTGCCTGAAGATAAAGAAAGATTGTCTAACTAGATACCAGAAATTAACATCATCCTTGTGATCGCAGGGACGCGTATAGACGCGATGATTAAGTCACTCTTGTCTCACCGTCATCATCATTACGACTCAGATCTAGTCATCAAATGGAAACATTCGCGCATTATTCCGAGTGCGGCACAGTGGCAGTCCCTTTGTGCGGCTCGCCGCGCGGCAGCGCGGATATGTTTTGTCTGCTAATGATTTTTACGTCGACGTTTATTAGCCGTACGCGTCTACGCAGTATTTTACTGAATCGTGATAGGCGGCGCGTTGCGAATGCATTGTGGTACGGTTACTTGTCGCGAGATAAGACCGCGAACCGCGCGGCGGTTCAGGTGAGATAGGAATTGTCGACAAATTTCTCTTTATGCACGGGCGCACTTGAAAAGAAATTTTATTACTTTCAGAGCGGTGCCCTGCTCGTCGCGTTTGAGCCTTGTAAAGTTCGCTTTCTGCGAAACTTGCATATCGAACCGTGAGGATTAAGTGTGCGCACGATACAGACACACGTCTGAGCGCGACGGTGCCGCAACGTATCGAGAGTGTTTGACGAAGTAACAGAAAAAAAAGTTGTTTTTCAATTATCTTGCGCAAATTAATTTATTATTATTGTTATTGTTATTGTTATTGTTGATTTGGTTTGGAAGTGTAGATGTATTTATTATCGCATATTCAATTTCGTATTCTTTTGAAAGAAATCATTATTTTCTGCAACAGCTGTTTGTTATTATTGCAATATATACCAAAATTACGCGCAGTTTTGGGGAAAAATATATATTGGAAAATGAATTGCCACGGCAAGTTTCCCGTGGAATTGTTAAAAGAAAGCAGCGTTTGATGTTTCGGTGGAAGAAGAAAATTGAAACGTAATTCTAGTTTTTATTGGCTTAGAATTTCCGCGATACGATTGAGAGACAAACTCCGCGGCGCGAATTGTAATTGAATACACGCGTTTGAAGCGAAGCTTGCTTGCGTAGGAAGGAGCTTCCTTTCGTTGGCACGGTACACTGTCGAAGTAATTGGAGTTCGTAATACCATTTTCGGATAGAAATGGTGGACATCATTCGCTGGCCGAGATCCCGCTGTAGAAACTTCGACAGACTAATCGATCGGACGATAAATCACGTTTGATTTAACGTAGGGCCGCGAGAAAGTAGGATGGAAACTGGCGTGCGGATTCGTAATCGTACAAAGGCCGAGGTTAAGGAAAGGTAAAGTGGAAGGGCGCGAGAGGGAGAGGCCGTAAGAGCGGAAAACTCGTAATTTATCCTGTTTCCAGTCTTGATGCCGGGCATTTCCGCGACGCGCTAGCGATTTCCAAGAGCTTCGCGGAAACGTGGCGACGCGAATGTCATTTCCCGACGTAAATTAAGTTTGAAATCCTGCTTATTTCAGCGTGGAGATCGATGAAAGCTGCTACTAGGTGCAGCTACAGTTTGAAAGGGGAAACCAGCCGTGATTCACATTCGATACAATCACTGTTAAACTCGCTCCGTTTAAAGTCGGCACGTATATGCACAATTCGCGAGGACGTAATTCTATTACTCTCGTGGAATTCTCAAATTAAATGCAGAAAGCAGTATAATCGAATTAAAATGCGTATAATTTATCCTCGAAAGGCGAATTTCACGTCCGAAGGCTCGCGAATCGAAAGATTCTATCTAGCATTAAAAATTTTATCGTAATTTTTAAATTGCGATTTCATCGCAATTCATGATACGTGTACAATAAATTTATCCTTAACTATATGTAGATCACGTAATAAAGAATTTATTAAAGCATTCATATTATATTAATTATCTTCCAATATTATTGAAGATATTTCAAAAGAGCTCTGCATAATTAATTCTTCTTGCATGTATTTGTCATCCATTTATACATGAATTTATCGACAATTTTCAACGAGAGAAAGGATATAATTTTTTTACATTAAAAAAAATCTTACTAACGCAAGCAGATTTCTAGATGTCGTCATAAAAATTTGTCGCTATTTTGTGCGTGTGTCAGAAAATTGTTGGTGGCTTACAAAATTTATAGCAACAACATTCTAATACCTTCTGGAAAATTTCATGACTAAAGCCAACGATATACGATACTATTTTTCCTACTGGATTGCTTACGAGAGGCAATCAGGATGTAGAGTTTTCGATCAGGTGACTTAAGGCTAAATCCTGATTGGCTCCCGTAAGAAATCCAGTAAGAAAAATAGTATCGTGTGCCGTCGGCTGAAATATTCATCATTTACATTGGATAAAAATGAATTTCGGTATCATAGCTAGAACAATCCTTGTAAGAAATGTATCTGTTTATGTGCCACAATCAAATGTTATAATGGATGGGTGTCAAAGAAAGATTTTCTTCCCAGCTCTCGCAAACAATTGAGATAGAAATTCTGCTTCTGTTATTTAAATTGATTAAATGCAAAACATATGCGATTTCGCAGTATTGGCTATTCGTTTACGTATCTCAGTTATTTTTTCGTACCTAGAAAATTGTTGCTGCAGTTGCAACATCATTTTTTTGAGTGTAGAACCACGACACACATTTTTCCAATTCTCTAATTTTCTAATTAAATACATAAAGTATTCAGACAATGAAATTGCAATCTGATTGTATCTTTTAAGGGTAAGAAACTTTATGTTGCAGGTATAGAAACGAAATTTGCTGGTTCGAGTTGCAATGATCTCGTAACTTCCGACGGAGCTGGCTCTACGATAATCAGCGGTCATTTTGATCAAAGGATCAGGTTTTGGGATACCAGAGCCGAATCCAGCTCAAATGACATTCTACTGGAAGGAAAAGTGACGTCTCTAGATTTATCTCGCGGTAAGTAAAGTTAATTTATTCTGGTCGATTGAAGTATTTTTTAAATATTGAACGCGTGCTAAAAAACCAACAATTACAAAATTTTTTAATTGTGTATTGCGAGAACGTTTTTTTTTTATTGTGTATCGTCGTTTGCTGTATCGTCGAAATTCGGGGTAATGCAGCATATTATTCCGTAAATATGTTTAATATGAATCGTAATCCAATGATTACGTTTGATATTGTTACAATAATAATTATACGTCTAGTATCAGATTGGGATTTTGATTCCGCAACTGCATACAATTTGCTCATACATTTTACAATATCGATTAAGGTATGTCAAATGGAATAACAACGGGAGGGGGGGGGGGGTTATTATCATGGCAACGTTAATGGTTTATATAAAATTTTCAATTTAACAAAAATATCGCCGATATTGCCATAAAAGTTAGCATCTGCATTACACTTTGTTTGTATTATTTATTGTGTAAAAACATGTTTCATATTTTCAACAAAGAACTAAATTACTAACAATTTTCAATACTGCGTGATATTATTCATGTCCAGATGAATGGAAAGAAAAATACGCCAAACACAATTGTAAAAATATGGATTTTGGCTTTGTGTTAATATTAAATATAGATTTCTGTGGTTTAATCTTAGTGATTAATATTAAGCAAACTGCAGCTGTAAAAATTTAGGTACCGAAAGCTTCCTGGTTTCATCTAGTTCTTCTTCTTCTAGAGTTCATCTAGTTTATCTAATTGTAATTATTTTGCAACTACATTATACAGCACCGGACAAAATTATATCACCTTTAGGTTTACTGAGCATACCTTTCGCCAAAGTGCAACGAATGTGGTTAAAATTTTACTGTAGACACCTGATAACAGGTACATCTTGTATACACGAAGGATAATGAAATGTGACAAAACACACCATGATTTTCAAAGTTTTCATTTGTGCACTTTAAAACTAGTTATGCTCAAACAATCGTAAAAAATATGACATAATTTTGGCCGGTACTGCACGTATGATGTAAACTTAACTATCGACGCAACACCGTATTTCTTCGCTTGATAATTGAGCAGAATCCAGATTGAACTGAATATCTTAAGTATCCGAAGAGATGCAAAATGATGCACCAGTTATTTTAATTACACGGTTAAATGCGACAGCGGAAATATTATAAATTTTATATGGCGCACGTAACGCGTATCTATCCGTCGGATAATTAATACGGCGGGGAAAGATATTAATTGGTATTTCACGGCAACTGCACGGCGCATTTCATTTATGGATTTTATTCGTGCTACGCAAATAATGTTATTTCGTTTTCGCTTTTTATCGCAACGTCCTAATGACGTGAATGAATTGGCTCGCGCGATTCTGCAGTATTCTCAAAGCACTTGTATCGGCTGCAAGTGCGCCACGTTCATACAAGAGTACTTCATTCAGATATATTGTTCTATCGCATTTCATTAATTCCGATATTGCCAGAACGCGAAATGAATTCAAGTGGAGCGATATTGGTCCGATTTTTAACTTTCGCAGTTAAGCAGGTATATCGCATCTCTCTAATACGTTTTTTACCATTCGCCGTTATATATTCATTTAAAAGGGAGCTGAAACGATCCAAAATAATCCTGCGTCATTCCACGTCAGGTCGATATGATACAGGGGGGAAATTACAAAGGAATCGTCTCGGCGCGCGAGTCGCTGCTCGTACAAGTTTATTGCGCCGTAATTAGATCTTTGAACGTTTAGAATTATCGCGTCACTCGCACGTACATTCCGCAGACGCGTTTTTACCGATGGTTCACGTGTACGATACATAACGAGATATTTGTACGGTTGACGTTGCAGCAGCGCAAACATTCGCGCCAACAGTTTAAATATTATTCAATCTTGCACACGATTGCGAATTATAAAGGAATCTATTCGATTTCAGACGCAAATTACCTTTTGAGTTGCGTGAGGGATGACACGGTAAAACTGATTGATTTACGAATGAAGAAGATTGTCGGATCGTTCAGGTAGGTCGTACATTTATTTCATATGTGCGTAAGTAGAATACTAAAGGTAGTAAATCGTCGCATTTTTTATTTTACCTTACAGCGCTGATGGTTTCAAAGTGGGATTCGATTGGACGAGAGCCGTTTTCAGTCCTGACGGCCAGTATATAGCGGTTGGTTCTGCGGACGGTTCCGTTTTCATTTGGTCTATAGCGACGAACATGATCGAGACAATATTAAAGGGGCACACGTAAGTCACAAATTATTACAAAAAAAATCAAAAAAAATCGCCTTTTACAAAGAAATTTGATTTGCATGAAAATAACAAATTAAAATATAATGATTGTGCGTTATTGCTTTAGTAACGCGATTAGTATATCGTTGCAGATTTTGAAAGATACACGGAGAGAATTTTCTCTTAAAATTGATCCTGAAAATCGTGTAATCGTAGGATAGGATTTTATGAGTTTTGTTTTAAATGTTGCCAGACATTTTACTAGCAATTATACTTACAATTAGTACACATTTTGCTGGTAGAATGTACGGTAAAGTTTAAAAAAACTCTCATACAGTTTCTTTAAGTGCCACGTTCTCCCACAATTACATGATTTTCAGGGTAAATTTTGAAAGAAAACTCCGTGTATAAACGATTGTAGAGGTTTGAAAGGAAATCATGAAGTAATTCTGTTTCGTTAATTGAACTCGTCTGTACACGATTCATTATAATATCTGAACTGCGAAACGTGTCCTCTGGTGCAGCTTTATCCGTTCTCACATTACGTATATATTCTTGATCGGACATTTAGGTTTCTACCTCGTAGACAAAAAATCGCAATCCTTTCCTTTCACATCGATTGGAATGTGCAATACCGATATTAAAGCTTGTGCCATTATAAAACGAGCGTTCGAAAAAAGAACTGATAAATTTTATATGACTTTAATCGTCTATGTTTGCCAATGGTGAAAGACATATTAAAACGAGAAATTGTGTTTCCGATATTTTATCAAATATTGATCTAGGGTTAATCCGAGATATTGAAGGCAGCTTGTCGCGCCGATCCTTTATAAAGCTTGCCGTCTTATCTTCATATAACTTTTTTATTGCAGTTTTGTCCTATTTTATAATCTAACGTACCTGTTATTTTAAGTTATTATATTAAAATCAATAAGGTTATATTAACACGAAGAGAATTTTCTCTTAAACGTTATCCTGAAAATTATACAATCGTCGGACAACAGGATACTTTGAAGAGCTTTATAAGAGTTTCCTGAAATTTTACCACATACATTTCACTAGTAATTATATTTAGTATACAACATTTTACTAATAAATTTTATTATTGAAATGTATAGTAAACTAGTAAACTCTCATAAAATTCTTCTGTCATGTTCTCCCACGATCACATGACTTTCTTGGTAAATTATAAAGGAAAATTCTCTCCCTCCCCCCGTGTATTTTCTAAAATTCGTCGGCGTCAATGTCGCGCAATATAATCGTGGCATTTTCAAGAACTTTATGACAGTTTTCTGATTTTACCATACATTTTACTAGTAATTATACGTGAATGTGTGGCAAAATTTCAGAAAACTCTCACAAAGTTCTTCAAAATGCCATGTTGTCCCACGATCGCGTGATTTTCATGGAAAGGATTTAAGAGAAAATTCTCTACGTGCGTCGGTCGCATAATCCGAGGATATCGGAACGTGTAAAACTGACGGTTCCAGTTGCTCTATTAATTCCCATTGCCCAGCGCTACGGCCCGAGGATTAACTTTCCGGTGCTGCGTTTGCAACATCTCTCGATCTCGTCAACGCGCGACTTCATATCCGCGGTCACGAAATCGATAACGCGGACTATTGCCTTTCTACTTCGACGCGCGGCGTACCGCTGTTATAATTTATCTCTCTCCGCTCCTTCTTTTTTTATCGCGATACGCTTTGACCCATTTGACGGACGTGAATTTCTCGTTTAAATTCGCGGCTCGCTGGGGCACTAAAGCGCCCGTAATTTTTGGAGGCGCCTTCGAGTGCTCTGCACACCCACCTGACACGAGAAGTTTCTGAAGCACTTTGGTCCGTCACACGCAGCGCGTTTACATGCACACGTTCGTACGCACGCGCATACGTGTATACACACACACATGCGTAAAGAAAAAGATTCACAGAGAGAAGGGACCACACACACATACACGCGCGCGCGCGCTCGCACACAGAAGAGGATCTAAGAAAATATTTCGTCGTGACCCGATTTTTACTCCAACTTTTACGCTGTACATACACATAACCGTCCGAATCTATGCGCCGCCGGATGACTTGGCGATATCGCGAATTTATATACGGGGACTTCCTGGGACGCTCCGGAGCCCGGGCTCCCGCCGGCGTCTGCGTTGATTCTCGTCATTGACTGTGTCGTCCCCGAGTGATCAAGGGCTCTTTTCACCAAGAATACGGAAAGCGAAAACGCGGAAAGCTGATTCCGCGGAAGAAGAAAGAATTGCCGCTCGTCGCACCGTTGCAGGGAGAAACGAAAGTGGCGTATACAGGGAACAACGTATCTCGTCCGCGTGCTTTCAGCGCCCTTTCACCTACACGTGAGCCACGTTGATGGACGCGTTAATCGGCGGTATCTCACGGGGAATGCGGCGTAAGGATCGCCTCCTACTACCGAGGTGCAGAAAATCGATGTGTTTTAAACACTAAAAACGTCAATTATGCTATTACGGCCGCAGGGACGGTTAAACATGATATTACCTGTAAATCAATAGCGAGCCCGGTTAACAATTTCCGGGTATCCCTCGTAACAATAACTTCGCAATACCTAACAACTCATAAATTGACGAACAATTGAAATACCAGCTCCTCTTGTCAGGGAAATCCTACCGGCGAGATTAATAGAATATAAACTTCTTGAAATGTTTCTTTCGATCCTGTCATATAAATATGCGCGATTTACGATTACGTTTGCGTTCGATTTACGTTAATCTAAAACGAAAAAAACACATTGCTAGGTTGAAGCGACGGAAATTGCGACTTTTCGACGTGAAATGACGAATCCTGTGCGGATGTTAAATGACGATAACATTTAATTATTCTCGACCGAATGTCGTACCAATCAAACTATCATATTCGCGGTGGCAACGATTAGTTATTACGCGCATGTTGGAGCGTTTGCTAACTTTACAATACCTAACAATTCACAAATTGTCGAACAATTGAAACGCCAGCTCCTCTTGTCAGGGAAATCCTACCGGCGAGATTAATAGAATGTAAATTTCTTGAAATGTTTCTTTCGATCCTGTTAAATAAACAGCTTAATAAATATTTATGATTGCTCTTGCACCGAGAGAAAATTGTCTCTTAAAATTTACCTTGAAAATCTTGTAATCGTGAGACAACATGGCATTTTGAAGAACTTTACGGTGAAATTTCACAGAACTCTCATAAAGCTCTTGGAAATGCCGTATCGTCCCACAATTACATGATTTTCAGGGTGCATTTTAAGAGAAAAAGAACAAAGCCTTACTGCCGCCAGTAAATAATTCACCAATGTAGGAAATTAATAATCGACACAACTGGCAGACTTTAATTAAAGAACTTTACACTTGTATTAAAGAAGCACCCTTATAAATTTTCGATATTTTTTATAAACTCATCGAGCGTCATGTCTGATAAATTAAGTAGATCCATGAAACTTTAACGCGATTTAAGAGAAAATTCTCGCCGTGTGTGTTCCAAACTTAACTGCCAGCGCTAAAAATGTATAGTATATATACAGGGTGAGTCTTTCCATATCCGACAAAATTTTTGAGAAGGTAGAACGGTCGAGATGAACGGAAAAGTCCTGTACCATTTTGCAATTTTCGTAATAGTTAACGAGTAATTAATTATTAAAAATCGTTGTCTTAGGCCGGCTTACCGCCCAATTCGAGCGCGTGGCAAGATGTGACCGCCTGGCGATCGATATTGCTATACGCACATCTCGCCACGCGCTCGAATTGGGCGGTAGGCCGGCCTAAGATTTTTAACGATTTTTAATAATTAATTACTCGTTAACTATTACGAAAATTGCAAAATGGTACAGGACTTTTCCGTTCATCTCGACCCGTTCTACCTTCTCAAAAATTTTGTCGGATATGGAAAGACTCACCCTGTATAATATACGTTACACGCACTGTAGATCATGAGCGCTAGTAGTGAATTTTGGAACAGCCTACGTTTGCGTTTGACTTACGTCTAATTGTAAAATAGAAGAAGTATTGCCGGCTGTGGGATGAAACGACGAAAGCCGCGATTTCTCGACGTGAAATGAATCCTGTGCGGCTGTTAAATGACGATAACGTTGAATTATTCTCGACCGAATGTCGTACCAATCAAACTATCATATTCGCGGTGGCAACAATTAGTTATTACGCGCATGTTGGAGCGTTTACTAACGTAATTGGTTTAATGGAACATAATTGCGACAGCATACTGCAAAATTAACGCTCCCATATTTAAACGACCAATAACAGTTCGTTACACTTGTATTAAAAAAAGCGCCCTTATAAATTTTCAATGTCTTTTATAAATTCACCGGGCGTCATGTCTAATAAATTAAACTGAATATCGACCTGTGGATCAATGAAACTTTAACGGGATTTGACCGCACGGCAAAAATACTCGCCCTACAAAAACATTTCGAGCGTTTTTACGTCCCGTGGCGACGGGGAGGTGAGGGATACTCGACGAGAAAGAAAGTGCTGCCTCGTCTCTGGCCTCGTTTCCTTTCCACACACGAGGCGCAGCGACGTCGTCGTCTCGGACGATCGATCGTGTCTCGCGGAGAATAGATAGATCGCAAGATCCGTTCTACGATTATCGTCCCCCCCCCCTCCCCCCCGACTCTCTGTCGTCGCGGCGGTCGGCCGTGCCGTCCTCGGCCTCCTCGAGTCTTTCAAGGACGCGGGATCTTTGGCGGTGGCTTCTTGGCTGGGAAAGCCCAGCGGGCGGCTCGAGTCCGGCGTGCATCTAAGTACCGGTCGCGCGCGCGTATCGAAAAATGACTTTAAGCACCAGTCACGTACACGTCGACCGGCGCGCCGGTGTGCGCGGCTCCTCGCGTATACACGCGTGCATCTCACTGTTATTACTTTCACCCTGGGCCGGGACGTAGACGGGCGCTCGTCCGCGGTCATCGTCATCTTTCGTCGTTGTCGCCTCCCGCCTCCCCCGTCCTCCTCGCCTACGTTTCCCGCGCCACCCGGTTACCAT